CGATCTCGGTTCACCGCAACCTCCACCTCCTGGGTTCAGGCAATTCTCCTGCCTCAGCCTCCTGAGTAGCTAGGATTACAGGCATGCGCCACCATGCCCAGCTAATTGTTTGTATTTTCAGTAGAGACATGGTTTCACCATGTTGACCAGGATGGTCTCGATCTCTTGACCTCGTGATCCACCCGCCTCGGCCTCCCAAAGTGCTGGGATTACAGGCGTGAGCCACCATGCCTGGCCCCCTTTTTTTCTTTTAATTATACTTTAAGTCCTGGGGTACATGTGCAGAATGTGCAGGGTTGTTACATAGGTATACATGTGCCATGGTGGTTTGCTACACCAATCAACCTGTCATCTACATTAGGTATTTCTCTTAATGCTATCCCACCCATAGCCCCCAACCCCCAACTGGTCCTGGTGTGTGATGTTTCCCTTCCTGTGTTCATGTGTTCTCAATGTTCAACTCCCACTTACAAGTGAGAACATGTGGTGTTTGGTTTTCTGTTCTTGTGTTACTTTGCTGAGAATGATGGTTTCCAGCTTCATTCATGTCCCTGCAAAGAACATGAACTCATCCTTTTTTATGGCTGCATAGTATTCCATGGTGTATATGTACCACATTTTCTTTATCCAGCCTATCACTGATGGGCATTTGGGTTGGTTCCAAGTCTTTGCTATTGTGAACAGTGCTGCAATAAATATATGTGTGCATGTGTTTTATAGTACAATGATTTATAATCCTTTGAGTATATACCCAGTAATGGGATTGCTGGGTCAAATGGTATTTCTGGTTCTAGATCCTTGAGGAATCACCACACTGTCTTCCACAATGGCTGAACTAATTTACACTCCCATCAACGGTGTAAAAGCGTTCCTATTTCTCCACATCCTCTCCAGCATCTGTTGTTTCCTGACTTTTTAATGTTGGCCATTCTAACTGGCATGAGATGCTATCTCATTGTGGTTTTGATTTGCATTTCTCTAATGACCAGTGATGGTGATCTTTTTTTCATATGTTTGTTGACCACATAAATGTCTTCTTTAGAGAAGTGTCTGTTTATATCCTTGGCCCACTTTTTGATGGGTTGTTTGTTTCTTTCTTGTAAATTTGTTTAAGTTCTTTGTAAATTCTGGATATTAGCCCTTTGTCAAATGGATAGATTGAAAAAATTTTCTCCCGTTCTATAGGTCGTCTGTTCACTCTGATGATAGTTTCTTTTGCTGTGCAGAAGCATCATGCTACCTGACTTCAAACTATACTACAAGCTATTCTTGTGTCTGAGCCTCCCAAGTAGCTGGGATTACAGGCGTGTACCACCAAGCCCAGCTAATTTTTTTGTATTTTTTAGTAGAGATGGGGTTTTGCTGTTGGCCAGGCTGGTCTCGAACTCCTGTCCTCAAGTGATCTGCCCACGCCAGCCTCCCAAAGTGCTGGGATTACAGATGTGAACCACCACACCCAGCCCTCCCCTGATGTTCTAATGAAACATTAGTATTCACTAATTTTTAACAAATATTTATTGAGAGACTACTGTCAGGATCTGAATGATTCAATAGATAATACCCAAGTGGATGATGGATTAAAAGTCCTATTTTAAATATGTTAAATGTGAGATACTTATTCATGACCCAAATAGAGATATCAGGTAGATAAGCGTCTGTACAAGTTTGGAGTTCAGGAGCAAGGCTATGCTGGCTGGAGATACACTATGAGAGGATTATCAGCATACTTAAAGCCAAGCAACTAAATAATAACACTACAAAAATATGTCAATAGAAAACAGGACCTGGGACCAAGACCCAGCTTGTGTAGAAGTTAGGGAAATACAAATTGGCAAAGCAAATTAAGAACTATCAAACAGGATTAAAATTAGTAGGACAATATGCTAATTATCCTGATCTGATCACTATATATTATATGTATTGAAGCATCACTACGTACCCTATGAATGGGTACAATTACTGTCAATTAAAAAAGAAAAGAAAAATTTGGAGGACACTATTTCCCAGAAACAAAGACAGTAGAAAATAATGTGGAATATGGCAAAAAAAAAAAAAAAAAATGCTGCATGTGGAAAATTTTTTTAATTAATTCTAGACAAATAAAGTGAAAACAATAATTTTTCTTTCCCCCAACTGACCTCATCATTGAATTCATGAACAAGTTATTAAAAGATCATCCCCAGGGGAGATGTACCCATGGAATAATCCTGATGCAATGTTAACTCTTAGACTACATTTAATCGTGTTGATTTTTGCTTTCCAAGCGACCTCAGTCATCTCAGGAGACCAGCAATGACTTGTTAGGCAGGTTAGTTACGAATGTCATTATGTGATGATAATTCAAGTCTGAATACCAGTGCAACTTTAAAAGTAAGTTCCAAGCTACAGAGATGTGATAAGCCCAGATGTTATCTTGTACAAAGAAGAAAGAAGCAAGATGGAATATAA